TATTAGAGTAATAAGTATGTAAGAAGAAAGATGAATAAAATAGAACAAAAATTATAAAAAAGGTAATATTGATTAGCAATAATTAGTCAACCAAATAAGTAAATTATAAAATTTTTGCCAATAGCTGAGTAACTAGTTAGTGATCATTGTTTCACCGCTATAACTCATCTCCTCAAAAAGTAAAAAAATATCAAAGGAATGCTTTTGTCATCATAGTAATGAAAGTAATTAAGCCTATTTACCACAACACTCTCTTAGAGTTGAACATTATCCAATAATGGTCATTAAGGGTAGTAACCAGATCAATTATGAATTAGATAACTCTATAATTATTGAATATTAAATAATCAAATTTATAAGTAAAACAAAAATTTATAAGTTGGTAATTAGTTGGTAATTTGCAATTTATCTAATCAAGTTCTTGTTGGGTTTCATTGCCTTTCATAACTCTCTGATCCTAACTGAATCTGAAATAAAATGGAACATAAGAATGTTAGATTTATTGGTAATGAAGTTAAAGTAAATTTTTTCATCTCTGTGGTTAATTCTGAAGTTTTATAACCTTTTCAAATTACTTTAATTTTTTAGAATTAGTATCATTATAATTATTGAGGATTTATATTTTGAATGATTCTTCTTTAGTGTTTCAACTATATCTTCATAAGTGTTACTTAGTTTTTCCTCTGATATTATAAAATTAATAATATTTTTAGATCTGAGCAACTCTTAATGAACCATTCGTCCATTCTTGTATGTTATTCGAATTGATTTTAAAACAAAACAAACTTTTGCAAACTTTGCTTTTGCTGCTTTAAAATTTAAATTTGAATATAAACTTAAACACATGCAAATTTCAGCAGTTACAACTTAAGTGCCATCAATAAGATTACTATTTGCAAAGCATATATATTAAATACAACAAAAATCTTTTTACATTAAATCAGCGATTATTATATCCAAAACTAATTCATCTAGACAATTAATTGAAGAATTCAAGCTAGCTAAGAAATAATGTTTTACTTTAATTAAAAGAGTCTAAAATTGAAAGGTTAGGGTTAAGGTTTTTTTAATATAAAAGAAAAGTAAGGGAAATGAAAGACTTCATTCAAATTGAGAAGGCTTTAAATTTTTATAAAATTGTTAAAATAATTATCTCATTATTTTAAAGATGTTTATTTTTGCTACTTTTAAAAAATAAATATAGCCAATTTTACTATATTTAGATACTCTGACCTTGCATCCAGACTTTATTTATACAGTAGATGGTAGATAACATCAAAATTGTAAGGATTGCAATAGGGCAATAGTTTTTGATGGAAGATCAAGTAACAAAATTAAAGAACAGCTAAGAAATCTGTAATAAGAATAGGAGAGCGAACTAACATGGAGAAGAGATGAAGGAGATTTCAGAGAAAAAATATTAAAGAAAGGTAAATTTTGAGAAAGTATAGAATAAAAAAACTACAGGATTAGGTAGAATAGGAAAAAGGAAAGGCGACAAAGATTGAATTGATGCTGGTGTAGTGTGAAAATGAAAACATCATTAGAGATAAGAGGTTTATTTATAAGTGAAGAAGGTATTGTGATAAAGTTTCATTTTTATGGAATTTAAGAGAGGTATGGTTGAATTTGATGTTAGTCTTGCAAAGATCAGGGTTTCTAATAGATGGTAGATAAGTTAGTAAGTGTTTAATAATATGGCGGTGGTCTAGTTAGTTAGGAGGATTATACAAATAATAGTTAAGGAGGATAAGATGTAAAGATTGAAACATTTGGTAAAAATAGGCAGAAGAAGAGATAATAAGATACATTGAGTAGGCAAGTGGAAAAGGAGCAGTAGAAGTGTGAAAATGCAATATTTTAAAATTCCAATCTATATTTTTATTATGATTACATAAAGATAAGGATGGAAAGGTGTTGCCCTAGGTTCATGTATTGAATTGTAAAGTCTTTAATTCGGTTGATAAATATACTATGTAACATCTAGAACATTATGAGTAGTTTATATAGATTTTAATAAATACCAAAATTCACAATTTTCACAGATAACTTAAACATGGATGTTATGATCTTCTGAATTTTGAGAGATTCCTGAGAAGTAGATATTTTTGAATACGATACAAATACATGTGTTTGAATAAGTTAAGCAAAATAAAATTTTAATAGATATAAAATTCCAACAATAAAAACTTGAATAACATTATTACATTATATAATTATTTAAATCTATCAAAAAATTTTTTTATTAAGGTTTAATTGATTTTAATTAAACACATAAAAAATAAAATTATTGATAAAAATTTTGAGATTAGAAAAATTTTCAGATCACTGTGAATGTGAAGATATTGTAGCTTTAGATGAAAATGAGAAAGATTTTTAAAAAAGAGGGTTATGCACCAAATATTTGGCAAAAAGAGATAAAACATAAATTAAAATTATTTAAGATTCTATCAATCAGAACAAATAAGCTAAATAATTACTTAAAAAAGATAGACCAAATAAATCATAGAGTAATTTACAAAAGATAAATTGATTATAAAGTATATCTATATCGAATAAATTGAATAGATTAGTAAATGTTTCAATAAAGCTTGGAAGGTTGATTTTGTGCTGACTTTTCTTTTATGTAACCAATAACTCTCAAATAAACAAAAATGACCAAATTTTATATTCTATTCTACCTCACAAATTTCTTCAGAAATTTTAACTAATTCTGCTATATCTACTTTTTGCTATTCTATTGTTCACTTTTGTAAAGCTAGCAATTAAATATAATTCCAATACATTAAATAATGGTTTAGTATTGAGCCCTTCGATCAATGAATAATTTATATTAACAATCAAGGCTATAGATACATCTTTTCAATACATATCAACTTACAAGAAACCTATTTTATTGCATAAAAATTAGGAATTAAGAATGCCATATTTTGAGAATATGATGAAAAAATCAGTAAGATTTTTTTTTCGTTTATGAATCATTTTATTAAATTTTTTTTATTTATATATTTAATTGTACCTTTTCTTTTTTTGGTTTTAGTTTGGTAGTAAGATACAACATAAATAACAGAGAAGGACCTTTTCGAAATATAATATTACAACCTAGATTTTAATGATTAAACTATTTGAAAATATTGCAAGAATAATCAAAAAGGG